GCCTCAGACTCACAGAGATCAGCCTATCTGTTTCCTGAGTGCTGGAATGAAAGGCACCCAGCATCATGCACAGCTTTTATTCAAGTTTTATATTATCACTCTAGAAAGCAATACTAAAAACAAATGAATGCCAGATCAGTTAACAACTGGCATTTTAAGGCTAAATGACATAAAGACATTGATTTTGTTGAAGAGTAATTTAACTTTCTGATTAACAATTAAGGATAAGAGAGGTCATGTTACAAAATATCCGACATTGAAAAAATAACCAGTAAGCCAACCAAGAATCATTACCCTCTGCCATTCGACATGCTGTGGTGTACTTTCTAGACACATAAACAAGAATGAAATCAATAACAGAGATCAGAGATATGGAGTCCAATGTGTTATGTCTACATGTTACTGTATTGTTCTAGTCTTTTTTAGATTTAACTTTTTATTTGCACATAAGTGTTTGCTTTATACAATTTCCCCAGTGCTGGCTAAATCTACTTCTTCTGATTTAAGCACCAAAAACCCTCTTTCAAACCCAAATTCATTCTTCTTCCCTCAGGAATCTCTTGAGATAAATTTCCCACCATTCTTGGCAATGCTTCCACTGGGATTGTAATTACAACTAATTGCTTTTGTTAGAAAATGTGACAAAACAAAGTGCATTTGAATAGCAGGTATTTTCTAAAGTCCTCAAGTACTTCCACTAAATGAGTCTGTTTTACTTACCGCTCACTTCCTAGCAATTCCTGAAACTTGTGACTTAATATACAGATTGGAGTCTTTACTTCAGCAAACAACATTCCAGAGTGAAATGGTTCTTAGAGAAGTCTCAAATTTTGACTGTGCTCACTGCAGGCTAGAGATGGCCACCTGTCATTGAGCCTTTTCCTAGCATTGCTTGAATGTCCTAGCTCTTGTTTGAACACTAACTTTTCTTCCAATTTTGGGCCGTATTGTCCTTTAATATTTTTAATTTTCTAGAGAAATGCTTGACATACTATCTCATCAATTCCTAGGCTGAGTAAGATTCTATTCAAAGCCAGCTAAAAGTCAATGTTGCACAGGAATAAAACTTGTATTCTCCTAAGTGTAGTGATTTTCATGGCCTTACCCACTGATTGTCACAACTTCAATCTTTCCATTGTGTAGAATCTGGTAAGCCCACCAGTTTCAAAATGGAATATACTTAAAAAATGTGAAGATTTACAGATGCCTAGATTTCATAATATTTCAGCAACACAACATTTGCAAATATTTTTCTCCTGAGGATATGGACCAAACTTTACAAAAAGTAAATAGATAATTTCTTCTTAGAAGAACTATCACTTACAACATTTGACATGCTGACAGGCTGAAGTTGAGTTTCCTTGTTCAGGATTACCTTTAACAAATTTTAAACATAACCCAAGGATATTTGAACAACCCTTTTTCCTACCTCAGACCCTGCTATATGTAACAAGGAAATGCTATTCCCTTTGATGCAGGGGAAACTTGATGCTATAAAGTATTTATTAATAAACTTGCCTTAGAAACATTGAAAGATTAAAAAGTAGAATTGAGCTAAGAAGCCCTACCTCCAATATGACTAGAACACAAGTAGTATGCTAACCAGGCTTGTTAGAATCTACAAGTTAGTACCACAGTTGAAGTTTAGCATTTCTGAGAAAGTTTCTGTTAATGGTTATTCACCAAGATGGACCTCCAATTAGGCTCCATTCCTATAACAAAAGGAGATAATCATGACATACAACCAGCCATTAGGCCATGCCCATATCAAATAACCTGCCTCTAAGAGTTAGCTCAAGTGGGTAGTGCTGGGTCGCAATACAATTAAGTCCAAGTTTGCCATTAAGTCCTTTGTGTTCTTATCAGAGAAAGTATAATTCTGATAGGTGGGCAGGATGACCCTGGGTAAAAACAATTAAAAAAGAACAACTCTGATCTACTTAATAAATATGACAAAATATTTGCTCCATAATTTGCCCAATTCACTTACATGAACAGATTTTCAGCCTCTTGCTTCTGTTTAAATGTTCAAAGTGTAACTTGGGAATTGCACCCAAAAGATTTAAAGAAGACAGTATATGTGGGATGCATAGCCCAAAGGTATATGTGTTTAAGTCAGCAGAGTTTATTTGAGGTTGGATCCACTTTGGGCATTAGACAGAGCCAGAACATACTATATTAAAAAGGGTTTACTCTTATTAATCTGTAAGTGTGCAGAGTGATATCTCACTGGGAAAGCATATTATTTCTACAACATCTTCACCCCACAGAGAATTCAGGCTTCTCTGGAGGATTTGAGTGTTCATAAAGTGGCAAGACACAACAGTTTCCCATGTTTCCCATCTCTGTTACATTTGACTACCACATAGTCCCAGACTTCTGGATTTCTTATTGTCATAAAAATGAACTGTGATTCACACTTGCCATCATTATTGATTATGGTCTCATTGAAATCAAGGCATATGTGTTTTCTTTAACTTGGGCAATTCAGCAGCAGTTCTTTTAAACACTTTATTGGTCAATAGACAAGTCTCCAAAGAATCTTAGGCCTATTTATGTAAGTTCTTTTAGCAAATGAAATAGAATATTAATAGTGTTATTCGATGATTATTTATCCTATTATATAATCAAGATCCAATGAGATGGGAAATATTTGAAATTTTGTGACTAAATCCCTGATTTGTGACTCTATGCTAGCTCACATCTTACTGTACTGGCTTCCTTGATGAGGTGAAGTTGGAATGAAATATATTCTAAAGACCCTTTTCCTGTCACATCTTGCCTAGAATTTTTAATTTTATAATTACAACACAATAATCCCTATTGAAGAGATATGTTACCCATTTGATTATTTTAGGACATAGTCTACTAATATATGTGTGTAGTTATCATCATAATGGAATAGTCATGTATGGTGTTTCTAAAATGATACAAGTGGTTGATTTAAAAAAAATAACAAATACCCACATTTTTAAGTATATTTGCTTAATGCACACAACTGATGTGCATATTAGGCTTCATGCAATGGAAGTTAATAGCCTAATTACACTTTTAATCGAGAGTCAACATTAAATTAAACCTCTATAGCATGCTACCCCAGTGACAGCAGGAGTCTATTCAAAGTTGCTCATCAGAGGCTCATTCAATTACTTAGTGGGAGCCAAGCAACTTAGATTACTGTAACTACTACATGGAAAAAGAATGGGGAACCATCAGAATAAAGGCAGTCAGAGAACCAAATAGGAAGTGGATTGAAAATCCATACAGTACAGAAGTACAAATATACACACATATATGAAATGAACCTGGTGAATGGAGGTGGGGAAACCAGACATAATCAGCAAAGCCAACAAACTTTGGAAGAGGGAAGAGGCTGTGAAGGAACAATGAGTAATTTACAATGTAGCTGCAATGAAATGCAATTGCATGAATTCAAAAAGGGGAACAGCAGCAAATAGGTTCAAGACAGCACCTAGGACTGCACACAGATCGATGGTAGAGCGCTTGCCTAGCACAAACATAGCCAGAGGCTCTGTATCTCATACCATAAAATGTTGAGATGAAATAAAATGCAACCAGAACAATAGTATGATGAGAGAAAGTATTTGTCTTGAAGAATCAATTGTTCACTTTTATTTACTCGTTTATTTAAGCTATAATCTCTTCCAAAGAGGATTCTGCCTATATCTAAAAATCCACAGTAATGAAATCAATAAAGAGGAATAGGTGGGAGGCGAGAAATAAAGAAAGAAAGAAAGAAAGAAAGAAAGAAAGGAAAGAAGAAAGAAAGAGTGGTTATTTGAGAAAACATCAGGCATACCACACAATCCTATTTAGGTTTCCAATCCTATTTAGGTTTCCAATCTCTAAAGGAAACAGGAAATTGTAATCTTTCACAAGATTTCCAGGGGCAACAAGAGACAAACTCTAGCAGCTTGATAAAGGCATATGGGCTAAGACATCAGTGAAATTTATCTTATGTTTTTAATCAAGAGAACAGGCTGCATGATAAAGGAGATAGTACAACCAATGCCAATTCTACAATAAACATGATATAAAATTCTGAGTGATGATGCTATAATTTCTTTGGTTGAGTCCAAATCATAACTTCATGAATATTTCAGACAAAGCAATTATGCGAATGATCCAGATAGCCGCTACTCCCAGATGGTCTGGCTTATCCAAGAGCAAAATTTAACCAGTCCAGGGAAATCATAGCCTACCTGCAATTTTCAATGAACACCATTTTCACAACTAGTGAATCATACATGAGGAAGCTTTCCATAACATAGTCATTACATATCAGAAGATAATCTGCCTAATAATTTCCATCTATGAATTGCTGCCAATTAATTAAACTTTCAAAACTAGGCCACTTCTGGTGTAATACACTCACCTTATTTCCCACTCCTTCCTGTTTTCTTCACTGGAGTTTGTTTTATAAGTCGTGAAAGAATATTATTCTTAGGTATGGTTCCCGAGGTGCTTGTTAACAGCAGATTTTGTTTATAGGGTAATTCTGAAAATGCTATAAACTTAGAGAGATTACAAGAGCGCCTTATTCTATTAACTCACTCAGATACATATCTGCATTCAAAATCCTAATGCTCCAAGCTCGTAGTAATTTTACCTTCTTTTATTGTAGGGGAAGAGAATACGGGAGACTTAAAGAAGCAGTCTTGAGTTTCCTTTTTGGTTGCTGGGAACTCAACTTTGGCCCTCACATGCGCTAGGTAGGTTCTCCAACTCCCCTGTACGTCCTGCCCAAGAAGCTGTATTTTGACACAGAGAAGCGTTCATGAGCTAAGAAACTAAAAAGCAGGGTGGCACCTATTCATGGACAAAATAAAATTACACCATAAAATCATCAAAAACTTAAAAAGCCTTGAACTAGGGAATATTTGCCTCAATTTTATTACAGGAGTCAATATAGTGAGTCTGAAGTTCCTACTCTTTCCGCAGCCAGGAGACAGGTGATGTTACTGGTAATAAAAGTTTACCTGAGATCCGCCGCTTTCCCAGTCTTGTTCGTGCACGTCACATCCCTGGTCTGATACCCAATCTGGATGTCCCAATATCTGTTCTCCTGTCTGTTTTGTCTGTTTCTGTTTCTCTTCTTCTTGATGAGCTCACGGGCCTCTGGGTCCTTCACTGCCTTGCCTCTGTCCCTCTCCCGCTCTTTGTTCTTGCCACGACGCCTGACTTGTCTGGCTTGCCTTGAGTGTGGCACTGAGCATGCACTCCAGGGCCCCACCTGCAAGCTGTACATGCTCGCCTCTGCCTCGCAGGGATTGGACTGGCACACTTGGAACTCGGTGAGGTTGGGACAGCCAGAGCCTCCAAATTGTGGCGGTGCAACCACATGTCTAGTGCGGTGCTGAAGGCCGCTGCCACATGTCTTGGAGCACTCTGACCAGGCCGAGAACTCAGACACGATACAGTCTTGCTGGCACGGGATGAGGCATGCTTGTTCCAGGAGGGGCTTGGGCTCAAAGTACTCGCAGATGATATCCTCTGCGGGAATGTCCTTATCCTTCTGGATGCAGGTTATCTCTCTCACCTGGATGCCTTCCTCTCCCTTCACACATTCTCGAGCTTTCTCCAGGCTTTTGGAATTCACAGGCTGACACTGATTCCAGGGTCCCAGTCTCCAGTCGTACAACTCTTTGTGCCAGTCACACACTTTGAAGCAGTTTTGCTGGTTGCTGGGTCTTCCAGCCTGCTTGCAGTTCGTATGCAATGTTGTCCAACCTTCCACATGAGCACACCACACAGCCCGGGTCTGGATGCCGCCTGGTCCACAGTCATCTCCCATGCACCGTCCCCAGGGACCTACAAATCAGCACAAGAGTCAGTCAGCAGGGCTTCGGGACGAAAGTGACATGCTATTCCCATTTCAGAAAGACATCTCTAGACTTAGTACATTAACTTCCCCGACATCTTATAAAATAGGTCTCTATGAGACGACTGGAAAGTAATGATCCTCCCTGGATACTTCTACAAGAGGGAACTGTGTCAAGGTGTCTATATAAGGTAACAGCTGGGGCAATTGCACTTCGGGTCCTTTTGGGATTACTAAAAGTTTGCTTTGATTCATTTCCTTTATTTCAGGTAGGCAGAGATCGTTGCTCATAAAGGGCATCAGAAACTAGTCACAGCGGAAACCCATTATTCTTGCTTCACATTCTGAACTCTGTTTTAGTAACTGGTAAAGAAAATCGCCCCTCCTGAAATCCTTCTCCTGAAGGCTTTCTTTGCCTGGGCAATTAACTATTTTGCAGAAAACAATCTTCCTCCCCTGCTTTTTTATTGTTGCTGGCTGTGGCTGCAGAGGTCTAATGGATGTGTTTGGTGTTGCTGATAGAATTTAAAGTGAGACTTCATGGGAACTAAAGCTGAGAAATCAAAACTCCTTTTTTCAAAGGTATTTGCTACCTTTTAATTAAAAGAAAAACTCAATGAATGATAGAGATAGTAAAGAAATTTTATTTCGACTAAATCAAACAAAACTTTCTCAATTATCCAACCTTTTTTTGAGAAACGACCGAATTCTTTCAGTTCATTCATTGTTAAATGTGAATAACTTAGCATTTTATGGAGCATGTGAGTCAATGGTTTCAGTATGATAGGGGGATTGTTAGCCTAGAACACTTTTTTAAAGAAGACACAGCTCTCACATTTCTTAACTGATTCTTTTTCTGAGACAGCTCATAATATTTTCGAAGTATTTACAAATTCCAATGTGCTAAATTGGAATACATTTTAGACTTGAGAGTAAACACAAAGATCACATAATTTCATGATTTTGAAATGTTATCATGAAGTTGAGGACATATTTGATGACCCCTGATTGTTGTTAACGAGTCCTGGGAAGGTTAAGTTTCGTGAGATGGCTATAGGGTTCCCAAAGATAGACAGTCAGCGAGACAGAGAGACAGACAGACATAGACAGAAACACAGAGCACAACTATACATGTAGGACAGAGAGTGAGACACACACATACACACACACACACACACACACACACACACACATATATATATATATATATATATATATATATATATATATAGAGAGAGAGAGAGAGAGAGAGAGAGAGAGAGAGAGCTTCTGCTCTCTTCCCTCAATTCTGCTTTCCGGGAAAGTCTGGCTTTACACTTATTTGTATTAATGTGTACATTATGCACAAGGTTTGGTGTGCAAGAGGCTGAAGAAGAAAAGAAAGTGAAAACTATTGAACTAGGCCAAAGGACTTATTCTGTGGCCCAGAAAAACAGGACACAAATTCTCTACTTGAATGAGTAATAGAACTAGTTGCAGTTTAGATCCAGTTCTTCTGACACTTGGGCTCTGAAAAAGTCTGTTAAGAGATTTAGGTTTAGATGTTTTTCTCTGCACAAAACAACCACAAATCTACACAAGAAACAACACAAAGAATGCATTTATAGTATCTAATTTCATTGGACAAAAGATTATTTTTATAAATTTTTATTTAAATTACAAATAAGCTTATTTTTGATACCAATCCCAGTTCCCTCTCCATCCCATTTCCATGGGGGGGGGTCATTAAAGTCTGTCACATCATTTGGGGAAGGGCCTAGGCCCTCCCCCATGTATCTAGGCTGAGAGAATATCCCTCCATAGGGAATGGGCTCCCAGAGTTCTTTCTTGTACAAGGGATAAATACTGGTTCCACTGCCAGAGGCCCATAGACTGCTCAGGCCCCCAACTGACACCCTTATTCTTGAGTGCTGGTTTTTGTTCTATGCTGGTCCCTCCCCCCCCAGCTATCAGACTAGGGTCCATGAGATCTCACTTGCTCAGGTCAGCTGTTTCTGTGGGTTTCCCCAGCATGGTCTTGACCCCTTTGCTCATCACTCCTCCTTCTCTGCGACTGGATTCCAAGAGTTCAGCTCAGTGCTTAGCTTTGGATCTCTTCTGATTCCATCATCTAGGATGGCATTTAAGGTAGTCATCAATCTCATGATAGAGGAAGAGGGCATTTGCAGTAGCCTCTCCACTATTGCTTAGATTCTTAGTTTTGGTTATCCTTGTAGATTTCTGAACATTTCCCTAGTTCCAGATTTCTCTTTAAACCTATAATGACTCCCTCAATTAAGGTATCTCTTTTCTTGCTTCTTTAGTCTTTTCCTGACTTGATCTTCTTGATTCTTCATTTTCTTCTGCCCCTTTTCTCCCGTCCTCTTACTCCTATATCTCTCACTCCTCCCCCTGTGCTGTGGCATAGATGGTAGAATGTTTACCTAGCATGCATGAGCCCTGGATTAGTTCTCAGCACTGTATTAGTAAAAAAAAAAAATGTTTAATGATGCTGTCTTCCTTACAAGTGACACAACCAACTTGTAAACATAAGACTGAGACTTTTCTGAAATATTGTGGTAATTAGTTGTCTTTTCATTTATAATAATATGATTTAATATATTCAAATACTACATCATGTAAACAGTCTTCCTAGGATAGTAACATTAATAACTTATAAACTCAAAAGACAGTGAATTTGTTAAGAATTACAATGTATAGTAGCTAAAGATATTTTAATTGTATTTTTACTTTGTCTCTGTATTATATTTTTCCATAATATTTTCATTGACTTCTTACAGATTTGCAAAAGATTCTGCAGGAGAATCATAAAACTTAAGATGCTTCTCAAAAGGAAATTTTGTATCATGTATAATTAGAATTAATTCCACATAGTTTTAGTTATCTCTACTCATTATGTTTTAATAAAACTGTTAGCTCTTCCCCACCATAAACACATCCCTGAAAGGCTAAACTATATGAAGTTTGGTCAGTGCGTTAAAGCATAGGGGCTAACTCAGAATCCAAAACCCTATCCTTTTATTTTCCATCTTTAACATCGATTATGAGTTATATCAATTCATCAATATTTAGATTTTATTCCTAGAATAAAACTAAGGGAAGAATTTTATAGAAATTCTGTGGTGGAATATGCCTTTAATCCCAGCACTTGGGAGGCAGATGTGGACAGATCTCTGTGAGTTTGAGTCCTGGTCTACTAAGAAAATTCCAAAACAAGATCCAAAGCTACAGAGAAACCCTGTCTTGAAAGAAAAATAAAGTTCATAGTGTTGGCAAACCCTACTCTAAAGACTGTTTAGATGACTATGCATGCTTTTCGTGAGGGGACATGACTAAAAATATATTCACTTCAGACAGGGCACCAAGACAGGCCACAGAAATGGTTCCACCCCTGTCTCATTTGGAAACCAGGGAGTTCATAGGGGTTACTAATGGAGTAGAGGTGGATGATTCACAGACATCTGCATCACTTCAAGTCCACCCAGCTACATCCTTAGATTTCTCTGCCCAACTTGTAGCTTGCTCCATAGGAGCGAGTTTCCTCTGGCTAGCAGTTGTTTGTAGCTTACATAAGATTGGGCAGGAGCTATGTTCCTTGAGTAGAATAATATTAGTGAGTTTTCTCCAAGGCTCATGACCTATATAGTCTCAGGATCTTGGCCACTTTACCAATGACAGGTATTTGTTTCCATGAAATGAGTCTGAAATACAATTAGGAAGTGGTTGGTTATCAATAACGTTTGAATACTATTACTTCGCCTAAGGAACATAGCAACAAAATGACTCCTAATCAAATACTGTTATACGCATAGATCAGTGCATCGTTAGAGAAGTTTCTTTTTGCATGAATAACACACAACTGGGCAACTGTGATGGGAGATGCCATTATGTATATATGTTTCTCATAACGGTTAATGAATAAAGCACTGTTGGCCAATAGGAAAGGAAGACAGGAGGGACTGGGAGACAAGGAGGAAAGAGAAAGCAGGAAGGAGGAGTCAGCATGGAGAGTCTGGAGAAAGCAGAATGCCTGCCGGCTCCCCAGTAAGAGAAGACCACGTGTAAATACTAGATTAGCAGAAATGGGTTAATACTTAAGACAGACCTAGCCATTAAGAAACTAGTACCGGGCCTACAGCATAATATCAAATACAGAGTCTCTGTGCGTTATTTGGGGCTGGTGTGGCTGCAGGACAATACCGGCGGCGGGAGGAAAAACCCTATTCCTTACAAAACTGGAAGTAAACGAGAGAGTTGGAGCATTCATTCCTAAATGGGTGTCTTCATCAAAGTGCTCTCCTTAAGTATTAGGGGTCTTTGTGAAAGAGAAACAGAAAGACTGTAACAGCCAGAATGGGTGGATGACTCCAAGGAACCAGTGATTTCCAGGCACAACAGGACTCATGCACATCTCAGTTCACAGACTCTGTGGCTGCAAAGATAAATCCTGTACAGTTTCAAGCCAGATGAGGTCTAAGTACAGAGGCTGTTACCCTTAAGAAACTATCTGAAATTGATACCCAATGGCAAAGGCAAGATAAGTTTTTCTGTAACGGAGTCTCACTGAGTATATACATCACACTTCAGGTTAGGACCCAAGCTTTGAAGTATTTGACAAATACAAAATTATCTAAATGGTATTTTATGCTTTTTATCTTGGTCTTCTTTGGTCATTTTTGTCTTTTAGTATTTTGCTTGTTTATTTTGAGTTGTGCCTTTGTGTTTCTCTGGAGAGTTTATGTGTGTCCTTCTTAGTTTTGATTGTTTTTGTCTTTGTCTGTGATGGTGGGGAGAATATAAAGTTGTGTAGGTAGGTTTGGAGGATACAGGAAGAATTAGGGGATAGGAAAACATGATCAAAATCAATTATATGAGTTATTTTAAATAAAAGAAAAGCTTTCAAAAAGATAGGCAATGGTCCTGTGAGTATTAGGACTTTCTGAGCTTTTAGATTATGCTCAGTACTTTTCAGAATTGTATGCTTTCCCAG